ATGGTTTTTAACCCTAATATTTAACCAGTTGTTGAAACACATTCCAGCCCATCTTACGAATACCCAGATGTTTCTGGATCTTCTACGTACCGCGCAGCCCAACAGCGCGTGCGTGATGGAGCCCTTCGACGTTACCGCCCTTTATACAAACGTGTCGAATGACTGTAAGACGTGTGGTGACGAATACATTGGCGAAACGGATAGACCCCTCTGTGTCGCATGAAAGAACACCTAGCCGGTAAAAATAGACCAAATACCCCGCTAGGCAGGCATAGGACCCAGAGACATAACGGGGACGACTTCGAAGTATGTGTCACGATCCTCGCACGCGAATCAAGAACACAGGCGCGAAATACTCTCGAGGCACTCTGGATTAATTCCAGAAATCCGAAAATGAACCGCAGGGAAGAATGCCTCATTATCACGCGTGATATGGGGCAGTATATAAAACTGCTTTTCTGATGTGAGGGGCACATTATACTTCCATGTGATTTCTGTGCGGTTGGTCTCTACGTGACATACTTAGTGAGAACCTCATAGGAAGCGGTGAGTGTGCAGAGATGTGTTCAATGTGATTGAAATCTTGGTTCGGAGTTTCTTTGTTTGGTTATGGAGGCGTCTGGCCGACTAGATTGCTATCAACTTGACCTTTCCAGGCTCTGAGGAAGGCGAAATCCGCCGAAACGTCAGCTTAATCGTGAACAAAGAATAATAACACCTCGCGTTTGCTCAACAAAAATACGAATAAAAGTCAATATTCTTGCACAGGAGAGCGCTAAAACTTCTTAAGGCTTTTGGATCAATGCCAAAAACCATACAATGAATAGCAGAGATGAATGCCTAGAGGTCATACGCGACCTGACCCAGTATGTTCGCATCAACTTCTGATGTGGGATGATGCAGTTATCAACCATACGCGACTATAATCAGCTATTCTAATCTTCCTCATTGGAAGACACAGAAAAAGTTTTTCGAAAAGCTGTTGATCATTCAATTACCATTGAGTTTTTCGTCTTTTTGTGTTATTGAAGCGTTTGGCCTAATAAATTGTACATCAGTATACCCTTCCAGGCTCTGAAGAAGGCAATACTGACGAAACGTCAGCTTCTGTTGTATTATATTGTTTTTCTATGGAAGTAAATGTATGCTGTTTAACAATCTCGCGATTGCTGAACAAGAAAACGATGCAGTCATATTCCAATGCCGAAGTTAATAGAAAGTCGATCCTGGGAACGCTTTCAAGGTCTGTTCAGCGTGGAAAAAAATTAAAACAACAATTTGCAACTACACGTACAGACTAACCTGGAGTGCTTCGAATACAGTTTTAGCAGCATACCCTTGAACATCTTCACGATTGACAACAATCTTAAACATAATGTAGAAGCAATATCCACACAACCGCAAAAATGGTGACGTATTTGCAAAACTCAGGACCGCAAGTACCAGCCGTGGAGAACGAACCAACTATTATCTTTTCTGCGTGTGGTGATGAACACGTTAGGCCCCTGGAAGGGTAATGGCGCGTTCGATACCCACTGCGGAAACCTGCGGTCCAGAGTTTTGCAAATATCTCAGTATCATTGTGGTTGTACCACACATTACTCCGCCGTGAAAATTGTAATATGCAGTAAATAAAAAGCTAACATTGCAATAACCACAAATTGATGATAATAAAAAAGAAGTACCTGAATTACTCTGTACCAAACTTCTTCGGACACGTAATCACCAGCAATTCGTATCAACTTCAAAATAACATCAACATACCACGTATAATCTGTTGCGTATTTCTCAGCTAATATAGCCACTTTTAAAACCTGAAGGAGATTTCCAAGTTTACGTAAACGATGATAAACAGTGACCATTTGGCATTTAATAATCCGAAAGAGCGAAGATGTTCCTGGGCATCAGACAGCTATGTGCAGCAGGGGTGGGATTCATCCCCCCGCAGTGTCCTCCAAGATGAGAAGAAGTCCGGCGTTTCCATCAGGAAGCACCAGCTAAGAGTAAACGAATACCAGGATCAACCACCGTCCTAGTATCAAACTAGTCGCATGGTGACAAATCTCCCTCCGATCCAGAAGGGAGGCGACTTCTTGTGGTGGCGACGTCTTGGAGCAGACTTTGGTTAGGCTGACCTGGGGATTCTAGAGCGCCACAATAACTATGACAGCAAAACTACGAAGAAATAGAAATGTTCTGAGGTCTGCACACCCAGTAGGGACGAGCCATCCAAGTAAGTAAAGAGCGAAGATGGAAGACTTCTGTAACACACCATTTCTTCTCTGATCGAATAATCAGCTGTCTCTAAGTAAGCCAACATCTCTGACACAATTTCATTCGCGTTAGTTCGATCGCACATGGCGTACAATAAGTCGACGGCTCGTTGTCTAACAGATACGTCTCTAAAATCTTCGTCTAACTCAATTCTAGCCCACGAAGTATGAAACGACACGGATATAAGTGAACGACTGTCATACCTTTCTGTTTTGAGGCTATTGATGATCGTCTCCTGGTGTTTTTTAACGGTTTCGTGTGAAAATTCTGATGTTGCTAATAAACACATTGATTCCAGCGCCAAATATCTGAACGACTACACGGATTAGAAAGTAGCATACAGCGATATGGCTCTATAGAAAAGTGGAAAAGATTAGTATCTTAAGATATCAAAATATTACAGACCGAAGATTCGTCTCCCTATGGGCTAGAAAAGTGCCTAGCTGATTGCATGCTCGGACTAATAAGTTTGCCTCACTATCCATATGAATTATCAAGGCTATAGCTTCGAATAAGACAGCGTTCTTAGCATTAGAATGTTGAACCTTAAAACTTAATAACATTCAAATGAACGTAATTGCAATGAAGAGAACAAGATACAAATACCTTTTTGGATTTTGGAGCATCCTGAGCTTTATTCAAAACACCTTCTAGGCATTCCAATAAGCGAGCCTTATTCGATGGGTCTTCTAGAAGAGGCGTGAGTACGCAATAATATTAAAATATGGTAGTAAATACAGGACTGCATTGACGCACACCTGGAGGAGGGTAATTTTGGAGCAGGCGCAACAGTTTAACACACAGCCATGGAGCAGGGACGAAATAATAAGTGTAATCCTGGAGATCGGTATAGGTCGAAGTTACTATCCTACTGAGTCGAGAAATCGCAAGTGGAACACAACCCTACATATACACAGCTATACTTCTAACCAGCACTCCAAAAGAAAAATGTCAAATATGAACCTTAACGCACATACCTTATACTCGTCAGGCCATTTTTTTGAAAGAGATTCAATAAGTGAGGCTGCTGATGTTACTACTCCCTGGAAATCAACTCTACATAGTCCTATCCAAGTGCTGTGGAAAGTAATACAAAAACTTACTAACCATGTGTGAGTCATTTAGGAGATGAACAATCCTACTAGCGTATTCACCAGGTTGGATAACATCTGGAGCAGTGCGAAACAATTTCAAAAGACATAAGGCTGCGGACTGTTTAACGAAATCAATTGTGTCGCTAAAAAATAAGGATGTATGAGAGACCGCAAAATTGAAAACACAAACACGGAGAGACGAAAATTAAAGGTTAGCTGAAAAGAAAGGATAGCTTTGCGAATTCAGCATTGTATTCATTGATAGTTCGGGAGCCCGCATCTACTGGTTAGAAAGTATTTCGATTCCATTCTTGCCGAAAATAGAACTCGATAATAACGAGATCAACGATGACGATTTTTAACTCATTCACAAATAAAATTGAAGAAGAAAGCTCTCGGTGATGCTCAATCTCTGAGGGATGCGCCATGCATTCGACTTCAATAAGCTTCGTTTGCAGGTGACCGAATGCATATCTAGCCTTTACAATGACTTGTGGTGGCCCACGGAAGTATCGAGCCAGTGCTGCGTGCTGCTATCCTCCCAGACAAGTTTGGCACCAATTTTCCGACTTCAGAGGGATGGAAAGCTTGGTGAGCTTGGGGCGCGAAGATCGATCCTACACGTATTACAGGGTGTCTCTGACCACTGTGCTACAAGGACCTCTTGAAGGAGTATGATGGTTCGATTGTATAACCGATAACCGAATGGGAAAAAATTCTGCACGATTAACAAAATTTAGGCAAATTGATTCCTGAGTAGATGCCCGGTGTTACCCTAACGTGATCATGAATTTCGGTTAATCATGGAAAGATTCTTCTCAGTCTAGTTCTTACTTGGTTGATCCATTAATCGACAAGATAATTAAAGAAATGGACCCGTCTTAATGGACTGGGATTCATCAAACATAAAGCAAGTCCTCTAAAGCTTACAGCGCTGCTTATGGATCAGTAATCGAACGAAGTACACTAAACTGCCTCTTGTATCCAAAAAGAAAAAAACTTCATTTTTACAGCTAATTATAACCAGTCTGAGAAATGGATCAACATACAAACGACCTTGCGAAGACGTGTTGAGTTCACATAATTGGAACAGATAAGAAACCCCAATCCTACTTATTCACACAGATTTCTCAAAGGTATACGAAACATTTTTTTCGTTTCCATAAGGAAATTCAACTAAGAGCAAACCAATACCGGGATCCACCACCGTCCTGGTATCAAACTAGTCGCCTGGTGGCAAATCTCCCTCTGATCCAAAAGGGCGGCGAGTGCCTACGTTGCTGACGATCTGGGACCGACTGGCCTCGGTGATTTCGGGACTCCAGAGAACCACAATGGCTAAACCAGCAAAACTCCGAAAAAATGGAAATCTAGCTGGGGCCCACATAACCAGTGAGGACGGATCATCCAAGTATCCAACTACTTGAAGCACTTTTTGCCGAGAACAGTAATCACTTCAAAAGTAGTTACTCCGAGACACACTAGACCATGACATTTAGATAGCCAATCATATGCGAATTTGTGAAGCATCGAATACCTCCTGCGAATTATGCTTAGATATATGAACCCAGAAGAAACGACTGGTGGATGCATAGCTCGACTTTGTCTATTAAAAGTCATTCTTGACTGGTAGCTCGATCCCGAAAGAAACGTAGTGGAAATGCAAAAAATATCCTTCTATCCCATAAGAGTTGGCCACTGCTTGTGGTGAATACAGTAGTTCCTTCCCTAGTACAGCTCTCAAAAGTCCGGTTGAACTTAACTAAGCGTTAAACGTGCTGGAGAGTAAGGAAGACCGTAGATCCTCAAGCTTTGTTAAACCTATGCACGAACCCCACATCACCTTCTTATATGACAACTGCACGACAACAAAATAAAGAAATGCTGGTACTAGCATATATGAAGACAGGAGAAGATCTAACCCTCTGACCTCAAAAGACGAGGTAGGAAGCGCTGGTCGAACATATGTGTTGAAAAACAAATGAGTATGAACTGTAAACTCCACCGCTCTGAGTATAAATAACATGGGTTAAGAGTAAAAAAAAAGAAAAAACCCTCAAAGGCCTTTTCTTCTGGTAAAACTGTAACCTAATAGTGATAGAGACGACAGGATTGCTCCAGAGATAGTTCTCGTCTTGCGATTGCCACAAACATTTTTCAACGGTCAGTGCCAAGTTTTAAAAAAGAACAAAGGTCTTTTGGAACTAATGAAAACAAGCAACATACCCCGAGACAAGAAGTTTTGGAAGATCATTAGAAAACGCTTCAGCCATATCACGACTGCCGATGTTCGAAATACACTGAAGTGCCAGGTTGACGTGTATAGGATTACGAGAAGTGAGATCATTACGAATTGCCTGGACGATTAGCTTCATCAGATCCGAATTCTGTTCGATAAGTACTGAGATGAAAAGATAGCCCTGAAGAAAAGCTTAACACTACTCCAGTAAACGATGGTAAACAGAAAAACTCTGAAGTGTGGCACACCAGCATGTAGTGATTATATCCTTAAGAAAATAAGTATGAACTTACAAAAGGACGCTTAGATAGTTGCAAAACTTCGAACCGCATGTGTCTGCGGTGATGATCGAACCCGCTATTTACCCTTTCCTCGTGCTATGAGTTCACTCCCACATCATGTGGATCCTTCAAAGGTAACATTGTGATTTCGACTACAAGATCAATCCCTCTGACGGGTGATTGCTGATGGCACTGATAGATAGAAAACAGGCTGAGAGAAAGGCGAAACGAAGGACCTGTATAGTGTGGTGGAGAATATATCAGACCCCCGGAAAGCGTAATAGCGGGTTCGATCCCTACCGCTGACACCAACGATCCGGAGTTTTGCAAATATCTCATCATCATTGTGGTTGTATCACACATAATATTCTGCTGGGAGAAACTGTACTAGGCAGTAAATAAAGAGATGTTAACATAATAAACTTACAATTTGCTTCTCGGTGTACTTATTAGACGAGAGGAGATTAACAGCTTCCATATGACCAAAATCGATATCATTTCCGAGCAAGAATATAAAGAGCAGTTTGCAAACGTACTTCTTTTTCTGATATCCGTCTAAGGTTTTATCTCCTATAACACTGTTCTAACGTATAGAATCCACAAAATTATGAAAACAAAGTGGAATATGTGCCTATTCTCCTAACGGTTTAGCGCCTCATCGTGGCTAAGAGGTGTTCCCGGGTGTCGGACCGCGATGTATAGCAGGTGGATTCATCACCACAGCAGAGCCTTCCAAGCTCAGGGGCCCCGCGTTCCCATCAGGAAGCTCGGCTAAGAATAAACCAATACCAGGATCCATCAACGTCCTGGTACCAAACTAGTGGCATTGTAGCAAATCTCCTTCTGATCAACAAGAGCTGCGACTGCTTGTGGTGGTGACGACCTGGGGCAGACTTTGGCCAGGCTGATCTCGGGACTCCAGAGGAAACACAATGGCTGAACCAGCAAAACTCCGAACAATGGAAGTTTTGCTGGGGCCCGCACAAGTAGTGACGACGGGGCCATCCCAGTATCCAAATATGCGAGTAGGTATTTGCTTACAAAAGACAAAGGAAAAGTGAGAGGGTTCAGACATACCTTTGAACTTTGACCTTATATTAGCTAATTCCTTATTTATTCGTTTCATTTCAGCTTCTTTACTTTTACAATTTCGTATATCCGATATAAAGACAGCTAATCCACGCATTCCGTCCCCTTTCACAGCCGGCATTTCACTCTTAAACATAAAAATGTACGATGATGAACCTAAATTAGAAAATGAAAATCATCCAGTCAGATCAGTAGAACTGAACAAAACAATGTGCAGTACACAGTAGCACTGAAACGTATTGCACATTTCACGAATGGAGAAACAACAAAAAGAATGAACAGTACTGAAAAGAATCCCGGGTTTCTGAGCGTTTCTGTGAATGTCGTTACAAAAATGCAATAGGAAAAAGGTACTACTCTTTGAAAAGTATTAAAGAGGAGGAAAACTAATCAATACTTACAAAACTTTCTCCAAGCGACCTCAGTTCTCAAAGTGACGAGAAGAAACGAAAATCGATAAGTACGTCAAGAGAGAGAAAGAGAGAGAAAGAGATGCGCATCGCTCGGAATTCATCACCTTGGTAAAACTTGCTTTCGATTTTTGCATTCTACGAAGGAAAAAGAACGTCTTTACAAGTTTATTTTCTTTTTGGTAGAAAAAAACTATAAATATATGCCATAAGCTGAGGCAATACATTAGAAGCATTGGAGATGAAAAAGAAGGAAAGAAACAAGTATTGATTAGCTGGGACATACTCTACACCTTTTGTAACTCTATTTAGAGCAATCCTTCAAAGAAGTTCATTCATTTAAACGTTATCGATCGAATGGTTCGAAACTTTCAAATACAAGGGATTTACTGCTGATAAACTACTGAATAAACAGTAAATGACTAACCAGATAGGAGACATCTTGCATAATGTTAGTGAAAAGCCTCTATAAATTCCTGATTACTACCCCTGTCCTATGAATTCACGATGTTAAAAGCCTACATGACAAACTAGGATCGAAAACCCACTAGAAGAAACGGTGGACGAATGAGAATGTTACTGCGCGAATGACAATGTCCCCAACGACCGTGGAGACCATGAATGGAGATGAAATGTCTGTTTCTTCTCTATCTTCGTTTTTTGTTATCACTACCAACGAACATGGACGCGTGTAGCGCTTTGGTCATAGGCCCTCTGCAATATACATGGAATCGATCCCCACTCCTCAGCCTCACCAAGCCTTCCATCCCTCGGGGATCTGCAAATTGGCACCAGACTTGTCTAGGAGGATAGCGGCACTTACTGGTTACATCGGTAGCCCACCGCGAGTCATTGCAAAGGCCAGATATGCACTCATTCACCCGATGCTTAATAAAGTCGATCGCACAGCGCATCCCCCAGGGATTGATCAACGCCGAGAGCTTTATCCTTTTGCCAACGAGCTTTAAACTTACATTTCTGTAAGGTAGTTGGCGACTCACACTTAGTGATCAAGCGGGTCAGTGACTTCTTTGTTATGGCATTCGATGGCGTGAGATTGGGGTTGCTGAAACGACAGTTACGTTTTTAATGCTTATTTTAAGAGGCTAACGACCATAGAATGACTGAAGGAACGGAAGGCGAATTTTAAGTGGAATAGGGCCATCTGTTTTGCCAAAAATTATGAATTAGCTACTATATTGTCTAAATAATACGTAGCCTACTTTTATCCGGCTTGTTCCTTCGTCCTCGGCCGACTAATCTCAAGGATATGTTCTTGTTCTGGAAGAATCCTAGTCGGAATGCAGCAGACCTCCATCTAACCTGTAATGGTTGATAAATGTCTGTGATGGAGATCTGGAAATGTCTTATAATCTGTATCTCGTTGTTACAGGGGAAACCACGATGAACGGGCCTTTAACGTGTTAGTGAAGGAAGGAGATAAATCGTTAGGGCGCAGTCGACCTCATACACGTACCCCAAGAGAATCCATTGATGATGACTGTAAAACAAGAAAACGAATAGAAGTACCGGAACCAGGATGACATGTTGGAGCAGACCATTTAATTACCTAAGCGTTTATGTAAGTGATTTTTATCACTTGGAATCACGCCTCCCAAGGATTTACCGCCTCTTCGTGACTGGGAGATGTTCCTGGGTATTGGGCTGTGGTGCACGAGGTGGGATTCGTCCACTCAGCAAGGCTTCCAAACTGAGAATTAGTGCGAAGGTTCCATTTGTAAGCCCACATAAAACTAAACTAATACTAGGAAACACCACCGTTCTGGTATCAAACTAGTCGCATGGTGGCAAACCTACCTATGGTGCATAAGAGTGGCGACTGCCTGAGGTGGTGAAGACCTGAGGAAAGGCTTCGACTAGACTGATTTCGGGACTCCAATTGACCACAATAGCTAAGCCAGTAAATCTCCGGAGAATGGAAATTGTGCTGTACCCCGCACAACCAGTGACATGCCATCGAAGTATCCAAGTAATTAAGTAGTCCAGCTAACCACCGAGTTGAGTGGTCCAATCAAGATCTCTTCTTATTAAGCTGACGCGAGATTGGTACAGATCTTCGTTGTCGTTGTCGTCGTTTTTGATGTTATTGATCGATGGCTGACGTTTCGGCGACTTCGCCTTCCTCAGAGCCGTGATGTTATGTGCGGAAGTCCAGCAGCTTAAGAAGATCAGTTTATAAGATCACATAAATAAATGTATCAACTATCTATGCCGAGGTTTATAGAAAGTCGGTCTTTCGAGTTATTAACAGGATCTCTTCATTCATTTTGTCCTGTTGCGCTTGCGCCTGTTCAAGAAACAGGAAGATTTTTGGCCACATGTATAGGTAACTGGGCGAACTCTACCGTCATTAGCTTATTGTGGTGAAAGCTAGTTCTCAACGCTATCTATCACTTCTTGCCATTGACAAGTTTTGTGTGCTTCGTGAACTGACCAGTTCCTATTGTTGTAAATAACTGTTCTACAGTGACCAAGGTTTTGGTGGATTTTTGCTTGTTAAGCCCCTAGCATTATCTAAAAGTGATTCACCAAAATGCTTTGTAATGGTGAGAGGTCTTTGGCTTGGTTGACGCACACTTTTTCAATTTAGGGAATATTATATCGTTTCGTTGGCAATGCGGAAAGGTGAGGTGCAGTAATATTTAGATATCTTAGTTCGACGAACAATCTTTAGCGCTGCTTGAAACACCAACTCACCCAGAACTTCATTAATCGCAGGGAGCTAAATGGATTGCGGAACAATATATACCAGAGGACAATCTGCAGCTTCTCGATTTCCAAATGAGATTGGAATCTATGTTAAGGCGTTCCCACGTCTTCATCAGCAGTCGTCGACCACTGCGGATACTAGTGCAGTCTTGCTTTGCATCTAGTGTCCCTTTATGACGACAATCGACCAGCCTATCTACGGCGATGTAATCTATAGAGTCCGAATATAGTAAGTGGATGTAAAATTGGAAAAAGACCAATATATTTTGATATTGCAGTGGTGTTTTGGAGACAGAGAACAACGCCCTTTACCAAATGATTTCGTTTTTAACTCTCCAATGGTGATTATTTTACCATCGTTTTGACTATATTAGAAGTTTGTAATTTTGCTTAGCCTTAGTTCAATGGGAACTACAACATTCTTGCCATACACATACCTACCATCCACGGATCCCCTCATAGAGGGATCTCATCCCGGTTAGTTGCAAGGCAACGTGACGCGTCCTCGGATGGCTGCTAGAAAGATAATCGCAGATCAGAAGCGACCTTTGCTTCCCTGAGACCCAGATGCATCCAGGCGATGGACTCCCTGTTTATGCTGCGTCGATTTGGTACATACCTTCAATATTTACAAGGACGAATTCATGCATATGTGTGTGAGTGTGTTCTCGTTTATGCGAGTTGTATTCTATGAGTCAATTTGGCTAAAAGACGACAATCAGGTGGTAGCAAAGTATATGTGAGGCGGTTAATAGCCACCTCCAACAAATAAGCTCCATGTCTACTCTGGGAGAGACTGGTAAGCTACCTGTGAGTATACCCACTCCCCAGGTTCAGGACTCAGCAAGCTAGAAAATGGGTATGAAGCGCTGAACACAGCAAAATAAACTGGCTTCATTCCTTTGACCCCAAAAGAGCCCCGGATACGGCAGCGGGGCAGGGACAAGTACAAAGCAGCATTTTTTCTCTACTGATGACATCGTTTTTATAACACCAGGCATTTAATGAATATCTTCGAATGCTCCGGTTACGTCTATCTAAATCAGGAAATCAACATGATGATCGACTTATCCCCAGAGTAGAGCAGAAGGAAACGAACGGCTTGGGGAGCCTTCACGAGCATCGAGGAAGTAGTGAAGAGAACAAAGAATACACGATCCCGTTCTCATCTTTTCGACTCCACGATTCTTTCTGCCTTAATGTATGCGTTAAAACTATTACGCAAGTAAGGGAAGGTGTTGGAAGGCTCCAATCTACGTCAGCGATCAAAAATGAAATATGCCGTTTTTTAGGCCAAACTGCCGAAACTGGGCTCCTCAGGATGCCAAACGTAGTGCAGGAAGGCCACCGACCAGATGGTTAGAGTTCTTCACGAGAACTCTGGGAAAAAGACCTAATGCTCAATGAGTCTCTAGAGCGATCAGAGCCTACTGGGCTACTCTCGCATGTAACAGGGAAAAATAGAAAATTTAGTGGCTACCGTTCGAGTCAGTCGACGATCAACGGGGCTACAGGTGATACAGGAGGCACATACCATGCTTTTTTAGACCTTGTTCTTAGCAAAAAGCTGGTTAGAAGCTCGATATCTAGTTTCGTTTCACAAATTTTCCTTTACGATGGAGTAGTTTTTTAAAGGCGTTCATTCCCAATATGAAAATTCTTTGAAGCGACCACATCTCCTTACGTATTAGTGTGAAAAATCAAGATTGTAGGTATTCAAATAATTGTTGCTTATTACATCTACGAAACACTCATTACTAGTGTACATAGTAAGAGGACGGAATAGCAGTAACCGATATGATAAAGGAGTATGAAGAGTAAAGTGTTTGGTATGATCAATTCCTTAGAAATTCCACCTGTTTTTGATTCCATTTGTAGCATCGTGGAGGTAATTAAATAATTATTTGGCTTATAAAGTAACTTATGAGGGCCAACCGAGCCGTGAAGACCCGAGATAGATGTGAGGCTTGGTCCTGAGGCG